CACATGCATATGTGCATACACACACATATGAAATGAAACTGAAGGTTCCATGAAACAATACTTACCTTTGTTACCTTGAACGCATTGTTTTTTTTCTTTTTCTTCTGAGATGGAGTCTCGCTCTGTTGCCTAGGCTAAAGTGGCATGATCTTGGCTCACTGCAACCTCCACCTCTGGGTTCAAACAATTCTCTCTGCCTCAGCCTCCTGAGTAGCTGGGATTACAGGCGCCCACCACCACACCTAATTTTTGTGTTTTTTAGTAGAGACGGGGTTTTGCCATGTTGGCCAGGCTGGTCTTGAACTCTTGACCTCAGGTGATCGGCCTCTCAAAGTGCTCAAATTATAGGTGTGAGCCATGGCACCCAGTCCATTGTGGTATTTTAAATTCTATTTCGTTAAGAAAAAGATGGTCAAATCCCATTCAACTGACTTCATGACCCATGGTTTGACAATCAGTCTAAATAAAGCACAATCCCGCAAGTGGAGGAAGGGCCTCCACGTGGATACAGGCAACTGCATAGGTTAATGGCTAAAATTCTAATCACTGACAGAGAAACTTAACTGTGTAGATACAATCCACATGTTGAATGAATATGCTATAATTTTAGTGGAAAATTACGACATTCTAAATAAAAACAGTATGAATATTCTCTATCAGTGAATGTGCTTGTTTTAAGCTCTGCATAAATTGAACTCTAGTTTTTTATGTTTCTAAGAATGAGCTTTTTTGAAAACTCTTTCACCTGTTAGACTGGCTTTTAACAATCAAAAGAACCCTAGCTTTTTGATAAATAGATCATTTTCCATTTATAAACAATCCTCTTTAAAGTTTCTGCAGCTTTTGCAAGGGTACTTTTTAAAAGCACTTGATTTTTTTTTATAACTTTTATTTATTTATTTTTTTGAGACAGTCTGTCACCGAGGCTGGAGTGCAGTGATGCAATCACAGCTCACTTCAATCTCTGCCTCCTAGGCTCAAGGGATCCTCCTGCCTCAGCCTCCTGAGTAGCTAGAACTGCAGGTGCATGCCACCTTGCCCGGCTAATTTTCGTATTTTTTTTGTTGAGATGAGGTTTCACCATGTTGCCCTGGATGGTCTTAACCTCTTGGACTCAAGTGATCCACCTGCCTCAGTCTCCAAAAGTGCTGGGATTCCAGGCATGTGTCACCCCGCAGGCCTATAATAACTTTTAAAGGCATGGTTAAAAATAAAACAATTGTGTGTTTCCCTTCTACTTTCAAAATCTATTTTAAGGGAAGACACTATAAGTAGATTCTACTCTTTCCATCTTTTACCCTAGCCTCAAAATCCTCAGTGGACACATTATTACAGTTTTTTAGTTCAAGTTCTGGCATGCCAGGGCATCATGGGGAATGCTTTCTTTTTTGAATTCTTTTTTTTGTTTGTTTTGAGACAAAGTCTCACTCTGTTGCCCAGACAGGGCCAGTGGCATGATCTCAGCTCACTACAATATCCACCTCCCAGATTCAAGTGATTCTCATGCCTCAGCCTCCTGAGTAGCTGTGATTACATATGTGTGCCACTATACTCGGCTAATTTTTGTATTTTTAGTAGGTACAGGGTTTGGCCATGTTATCCAGGCTGGTCTTGAATTCCTGGCCTCAAGTGACCTGTCTGCCTTGGCCTCCCAAATTGCTGGGATTACAGGCATGAGCCATCACTCCTGGCCTTGAATTCTTGTGCCTTAGATAGTATGCAAGCATCCAGGGTAATGGGTGATTCATTTAGGTCCCATAACACCATAGTCCAAGGATGAGAAAACTGGGTCTGACTTTCTGAGCAGTATTCCCCTTTCATTTTAATCACAAACACCTTTATATGTGAACAACTACTGGTATTAAAGATACCTTCAACAGTTCAACTACCTAAGGGAGTATTTCACTTAGCTGAGAAAAATATCAAGTACCTTCTTTAAAACGTTACATTCCAACAAATACTTTCAGGTAACATTTCTAAATAGATGATTATGACTGTTATTTTAAAAACAGGACATAATCTCCATTTACTCGTTTGCAATGTTTATTATACAATGAACTTAATAATAAAAAGATTTTATGCCATTTCTGGCCAGGCATGATGGCTCACACCTGTAATCCCAGCACTTTGGGAGCCTGAGGTGGGCGGATCACAGGGTCAGCAGTTCGAGACCAGCCTGACCAATATGGTGAAACCCCGTCTCTACTAAAAATAAAAAAGTAGCTGGGCATGGTTGTGCACACCTGTAACAGGTCCCAGCAACTTGGGACGCTGAGGTAGAAGACTTGCTTGAACCCAAGAGACAGAGGTCACAGTGAGCCAAATTTATACCCCTGCAATCCAGCCTGGAAGACAGAATGAGAATACGTCTTTAAAAAAAAAAAAAAAAAAAAAGCCATTTCCATCTATTGTACATAGCCCCATGCTACTTATATGGGAATTGTAACAAATCCTAAACAAAGTTTTGAAAGGGTTAAAGCTTAGATTTGGCTTATTTCTATTTATCTTTCACTACACTTTTATCCTCATCTAAAAGCAACTCTGTGCAAGAAGACTTGCAACTCTGCAGTTGCGTTGTGATGCTGGATCTCTGGGATAGGAGTATGGCCCAATTATATGCCTTTGTGTCTTGACCTTTATCTTGTAACTTTCTCAACCTTGTCAACCCAACTTTCTTTTTTTTTTTTTGAGACAGAGTTTTGCTTCTTGTTACCCAGGCTGGAGTGCAATGGCGCGATCTCAGCTCACCGCAACCTCCGCCTCCTGGGTTCAGGCAATTCTCCTGCCTCAGCCTCCTGAGTAGCTGGGATTACAAGCACGCGCCACCATGCCCAGCTAATTTTTTTTTTGTATTTTTAGTAGAGACGGGGTTTCACCATGTTGACCAGGATGGTCTCAATCTCTTGATCTCGTGATCCACCCGCCTCGGCCTCCCAAAGTGTTGGGATTACAGGCGTGAGCCACCGTGCCCAGCCTAACCCAACTTTCTAATATTACCACAATGTCTGTATTGAAAATTAACCATTACCCCTAACTTTGGATCTGCAGCAAAGAGTCAGACAACTCCGCTTTCAGGCCAAAAATTGTTGGCTTCACATTTCCAGTGTTGGAACTGCTACTACTTGTCCTTCTCATGTGGCATCACCACTTTTTTTTTTTTTTTTTTTCCAACACGGCATAAGCTAATCTTTCTAATACATACAATTTCCATCAAATGTATGTTACATTGTTGAAGCGCAATCAGATTTGTTTCCCTGAAAAACCCCCTTTTCAGGATATATTTCTGTTTAATTTTCTATAGCTGGGTAAGCACTCTGTACTGTTCCTGGGGCTGTTTTAAAAACACTGTCTGTGCTGATCCAAATCAAACAGACCTTTAGAGGGTACTGACAATGATGTCTTCATTGAATATGATCACTGCGAAAGCTTTAGCTCCTTGTTTGCTCTGTAATGCTGTGCCAAGATCTTGGCCTTTAGATGTTCCCAGAATCCCTGGAAACATTACTTATTTGTTTGTATCAGCATTAGAATGGTTTTGCATTCACAACAAAATGTGAATCTCTTACTGGGTTGAAGTTGTTTTCTTTACCTAATCATAAGACTTGAAGCCTGTTGGAACAGAATTTTAAGTAAAACATACCAGAAGTCAGAGTAATAGGATTCCTTTGTTTTTCAAGCTTTGATAGAAAATTTCTTCCTAAATATTACAGCATTAACATTTAAAAATTCTGAGGGATACTGATGAGAACTATGATTAAAGATTCACAATATTTCACTTTTAAGACATAAAAAACTACTCTTCATATCCTAGCCTGATGACTTAAAGATATCAGCAGGGTATCATACAAATAATCCGAACACTCAAAATGGGCTTTATTTAAATATCATAAAGGCTAAAGATTATGGCTCTACCAAAATAAAACACTAAGAATATGAGCAGAAATAACATTTCACAATTTCTGTTTGGAGCTTTTAAAATAATACTGTAGTAATTGATTCCTTTCTATTTTGGCTACATTTTGAATAAGAGAACAGAAGCATTTAAAAAAGTGGGTCCTTTTAAAAAATGACAAAAAAAGGCAAGTCAATACCAAGAACCAAGCATACTCCCATTAAAGGGAACAGGGAGGCCTAGGGAGTACAGTCCGCTCAGTGGTTAGTCAGATAGCATGGGCGCCACACGTGCCCACTGGTGCGTGTCAGCCTTGGTGCCAGGGCGGCAGGGCCCTGAAACATGGAGAGGTAGACAGTTTCACTGGCTCCTCAGGCCAAAGTCCAGGCAGAAGTTGGCTTTGTGAGGTTCCTGTCGTCCTGCCAACCCATGGCACTCCTGGGACACTGCTAGGAGAACACTGGCCAAATCCTGCATGAGAAGTCACCTCCATCACAGTCTCCTCAATGTTGGGGGTCAGACTACAGGAAACCCCTTTTATCAGATTTTATGGTGTCTGTACACTAGCCAAGGAAAGTAAGGGAAAGAGAAAGAAAGCAACTTGTTTAACCTCATCTAACAGAAAGGAAAGGATTCTCCAAAGTAGCTGATCTAGGAACGAAGCCCAGCATCTCTAAATCTCAGCTCAGGGTACTAGGTTTTCATTTACCCATGGTTTTTAGAAACTTAAGTCATTAAGATCCTATCTACTCTGGGCTATCATATCATTGTTTCTCTAACAGAGAGTGGCCCAAAGCCATTGTTGGACACATAAAAAATAATCTGTGTACCATTTGACAATAATCTATACACAAAGCACATTCAGCCATACACATATCTCCACAGTACAGACACATATTTAAAAAATTTTTAAAAGCGGAGAGGTCTTCATCTGTCATTCTTAAGGCTCCTAATAGGAAATATCCCTTTTAATAAGGTTCCTCAAACACCACATGCCTATGTAGATGCAGAGATGAATATTCACATACCTGTGTGTAGATGTTCAGAAACAAACACGACCACTATACACATGCGTGCTGTCTCTTTTCTGAACCAATAAAGACAATGCTTTCCTAAGGAATGTCTGAATTTTATTGTACTTTTTTTTTTTTTAAAAGAAAAGAGAATATCATAAACAATTTCTTTCAAATGGATAAACTTAGACAATTTATCAACGCTTCCTTACATTTTTACACCACGCTGAACTCCAACAGGTTTTTGTTTTAAGGTAAACCAGGTTTTTGGTTCTTCCCTGTGGAGAAGTTACTTTCAAGTCAGTGAAAGTTCTTGGCCTATGATTAAAAGTCTTTGCCAATTAGTACTCAACAACTTCAATTCATTTTTTTCTGGTTCAAGATGAGTAGGAGCCTAATAAGGCTGTGATAAAAGGGCAAAAGGCACTGAGAGCCAAAAGCGGATTAATGAGCTCCTCCATTTATTTGTCTTCCTAACAGCTGAACTGTTACAACTATTGACACTCTTCAAAAGGTTCCGCTCTGAACCCTGTCCAGGCACTGCAGGCTCCAATGGACATCTTCAAATCCAGAGAATGGAGGGGCAAGAGCTCCCCCTGTGTGATGCCAAAACCAACAAAGCCCCATGGATCAGGTAATGAAACTTCAGCTTTTCCCCCTTTGAGATTTATTTACTGGCAGCTGACAAGGGGCAAATTCAGCTCGAATTGTGCAGTCAGGGCCCTGTCAAGCTTTTAGAGGCAGCCTTGTCTTGAAGCACCTTCATGACTGGCATTTCACTCAAAAGCCCTCGGCACTGGTCCTTAACAGCTTATGACATCACAAAGGACACTCCAGACAGATGCCTACATGGCATCCTGCAGCATTTTAAAAGAGAATTAGTGGTTTTAATTATGGTCGTAGTATGAAAGGGAACCATGCAAGCTCCACAGGAGACCTTTGATCAGACCCTTTTGCTAGTACAATGCCACGGAACTGTGACTATTCCTGGTAAGGGGCCTTTTCTTGCTGAATGACTCACCAGTGATCTTTGAATGCAGACAAGCTTCTAGCCCTCCCTCTTCATTAGTGAGCATTTCTATACAGGGGCCTATATAGTGCTTGGAGTCTAGGAGCTATACAATTGGGGGGAAAAGAAGCCCTACAGATTCTGGCCTCTACTTAGGAAGTGCTGAAGGACTCTGAGTGACTTTATTCATTAAAACAGGTTGCTATTAATTAACTGTCATAATAAAATAAAGAACTATTATTTGCATTTCTTACTATGTTCTCTTTAGTAATATGTATAAAAGATGCTTGTAACAGAAATGAATTTATTGAGCCCCTTCCCCATCCCCCCAGTCCCTGCCTTTTTTTTCCCCTTTGCATTTTGGCAGCAGGAGCCTACTAATTATTGGGCCTAGATCTCTGAGTCCAAATAGAAGTAAAACATAAATATAAAATTAAGTAAATGCAAAATCCTTTTTACTTGCCAATCAGTTTCTGCAACTGAAAGAAGCAAACATCAAATTAGTTTTTTTTTTTGATTTCAGAGATCGATCTAAGACAGTAAAACACAAACTTTTTTCAAAATATCACCCACTTGGTGTTTAGCTTGAAGTGTAAGACTAACAACTATAGCTACTTTGTACAAAATGTACTCTCACCTAAAGCCTAACAAGATTCATTTTTTTTTCCCCAGAAAACATAAAATGTCTTTGGTCTGGTATTACTATAAAAAATTTTTAACCTTTAAAACTGATCCCAATAAGCATGGCCCTTAAACAGTTCATGGTCAATATTCAGTTATATGAAAATAGTTCATTCTCTTCTAGAATCTAATAAAGCACAGTCATCTGGTGAAAGACTGGAAGTCAGAAGACTTTTCAAAAGCTTCTCACTGAAATGTTAATTTGGTAACATGGGATAAACAGAATTTTGCATAAGTGGGAGATCTGTCACTTAACACCCCATGAAACAGTCCTGCTGGACCATGTTACTTATATCTGGGAGATGACTGTATCTCAGAGATGACTTAGTTTTAAACGTTTTATGCAGTTCCTTTTCTTGAAGGAAAAACTTCTGGACTTCAGAATTTTGGAAGCTGAATGACGAGCAGGTTTTTCACATTTTGCTGTCTCAGACATTTTTCCTACTTCTCAGACTTTGCAGTTCTTTTCTTAGGTGCTTTACGGCACCTAAAATATCAGCGTGCTGTGGATCATTCCGTGCTTTCTGAGAATACAGGCGAAAATGTTTGACGGTTTCAGATAACAGGACTTCAGGGTCTGCATGTCTTGCCTGAAGGCGCAGCATCCGCTCACAGGCGATGGCATAGTTCTTGTGCCAATTCACTGGGTGCTCCTTTTGTAAATAGACAATCTCCTTATAAAGCTAGAAAACAGCAGAAATGTTGGTATTCCATTGTTAATTTTTTTTTTTTTTCAAAAACAAAAAAAACAAGAGGAATTAACAACAACAACAACAAAAAATCCAAGCAGCCTCTAGTAAAAATCTAATCATTGCTAGGCCATGCAGAAAATGCAAGGATGTTACTGTAATTATTACAGTAGAGGGAGGTAAATTTGCTGCATCTAAAACTGCTTCGGAGGTTTTCGGATGTTGCAGTGGAAACGTTAAGACACACTGTGTCAGGACAAAATGCTCTTCCTCCAGAAAGATGTTCTGGGGAAGGGATTTAATTTTAATTCATGGAAAGCTATTTACTCAACAGGTAAAAGGGTTGAAACTCTAAATTTAGCTATTGGAGGAAAAAAAAAAAAAAGCTTTCTTTAGAAGACTGCCCAGAAAATGCACTTGAAGGAATTTAAATGTTTGTCCCATATTTTTGCCAGAAATTTCTCTCTACAGTAAAAACAACACTAATAACAATAGCAAAGATAAAACAATCCAGACAAATTCATTATCATAGAGGCTGGGTGTGACGGGATTTAAGAGGCATCCATAAAGTGAGATACTGAAAAGCTTCACAGTATCCAGTAATTTACAGTTTTGATAGTTAAAAGTTTGCCCATAGGAATTTAGAATTTCATTTTTCAACATCAGAGAGAAGATTAATTGGATAGAGTTAGATTTTTTTTTTTTTTTGATAGGGAGTTTTCTAGAGAAAACACATCAAAAATTTAACCAGTGAAAAAGCAGATACAAATCTGCAAAACAGAATATTACAGTTGCTTATTTGGGAATGTCACAGCTTTCTTGGAGATTGTCAGGTTGGGGATGTATTCACAGCTGTTTACCTGTAGACTTTCTGAGAGCGCGGAAAAGCAATAGTGCTTTCTCTAAGGAACAAATGCTTTTTGAATTAGACATGACATCAGTTAGTTAAAAGAAACGCAATCATATTGTCTATTTTTCCGGTTCCCACTCCGGGGCAGACGAATGCATACCTATTTTAAAATAGCACCCTCATGAAAAATTCCACAATCCATGTTTTGATATATCTTTCAACAGTTAATAACCCTCAGTCTTCCAGCTGCCTTTTAAAGCAAATTTCCCCTTAGTTCCCTTCCTTTTACACCACATGGAAGAGGCTGGGCATGGTGGCCCATGCCTACACTCCAGGCACTTTGTGAGGCCAAGGCCAGAGGATTGCTTGAGACCAGGAGCTGGAGACCAGCTTGGCCCACAGAGTAAGACCCCATCTCTAGTTAGAAAAAATAAATAAGAAAAAAATGGGAGAGAATCACCGCGCACTTTCACATACAGCACGGTGATTGTCAGACTCCTACCCTTTATCCTCTTGGTCAAATTTTCAAAGCTTCTTTACCCTTTCCTCACCATCCTTTTTTCTCCAGTGGTTTCTCTTCATGAGCCCTCCCTGATAAGACACGGGCGTAAAGGCTGTAGCAAACTGCCCCACACTTAAAGTAGGCATTCCGGAACTGTTCAGTTTTCAAAATCCTAAGTGTTGCTTTTTAAAAAAAATTAAGTATAATACATGTTTCTTTACAAATCTATGACACTTAGATTGATGTTTGTTACTTTTCTATGTTTAATTTTTGCAGGTACACGGTATATATATTTATAAGGTGCATGAGATTTTGATTCAGCTTGCCTTGTATAATGATCACATCAGGGTAAATGGGGTATCCATCATCTCAGGCATTTATCTTTTCTTTGTGTTACAAACAATCCAATTATACTCTTTTAGTTATTTTTAAAGGTATCGTAAATTCCTGTTGACTGTAGTTACCCTGCTGTGCTATCAGATTCTAGGTCGGATTCATTCTAAATATATTTTGTACCCATTAACCATCCCCACCCCACCGCCCCACACTAAGGTGCTGAAGTCCAAACCAGATGGCAACACTTCCAGCCGCATTTCCCCAGCTACTCCAGGAAATGAGGCTCATTCATAACCCATCTACTAGTCTTCAGGCATCAGGAAAACTGTGCTACCTTTTTCTGGAACACTTTGTTACTGATGCATTATCAACTTATTTTAGATGTCCTATTAAGCTACATGTGCCATATCTTAAGAAGCTCATCATTTCTCATTATGTGGCATTATATTTCTTCCTCTATATTTATGTGTTACTGTGACATTAGTCTCAGTGGACCGTATTCTGTTAGTTGGGGACACTTTCAAATTATCCAATTTATTCCTATAACATTGGTTACTCCTTGTCCTGCTCCCCAACCACACCTAAATTATTAAGTCACCTGAACTTAATGTTCTGTATGAGCTATTCAGTAGTATAATGTACCCCGCAACAAAAATATTCTTTTTTTTTTTTTTTTTTTTTTTTTTNCACTCATGTTACCCAGACTGGAGTGCAATGGCGCGATCTCGGCTCACCGCAACCTCCGCCTCCTGGGTTCAAGCAATTCTCCTGCCTCAGCCTCCTGAGTAGCTGGGATTACAGGCGCGCACCACCATGCCCAGCTAATTTTTTTGTAAAAAATATTCTTTATACCTAACAAGAACAGTCTTGAAAAACTAGCACCGGGGGTGGTAATTAAGTAATTATCACCAAGTAATTGGCTTTACTTGTCTTGTAAACATTGTCATATATCTGGAGACTATGCAAAGGAGATACCAATAATCTGTGTTCACTGAAAAAAAATAAACCTTACTGACCCAAAGGGACAATAACAAATTCACAGACGAGCTTTAGTAGTAGCCTAACTGACCATGGGAGAGATCACTGATGAGAATATAAAACAGTAAGTCTCCTATCTCTCCCAACTAAATATTGCTTGTTTTTCACAGAATTACAAGATACTGGAGATAAACAGCATTATGCTATGAACAGGATATGAAGGACAATCTTTTAAAAAAATTTAAAGCCCCCTTTGTTTTTTCTTTTTCAGAAAAAAAAAAAATCAAGGCCTGGAAAGGTTCATTGACTCACAGTTGACAACTAATGGCAGAGTGGGCCTAGAAGCTGGGCCTCCCTACTTCCAGACAGAACTCCAGCATGCTTGCTGCATATAATCAGGTATCTTGCTGTCCTCAAGTGGGGTGCCTCGGAGGGTTCTGCCTTTGCCCCCATGGCTCGCTTCTTATGGACTGCTCTCCCCTCCCTCTCTCGCCTCCTTGCCCCACCATCTGTCTGGTTAGCTCCTTCTGATCTTTCAAGATGACACTCCAATGACGTCCCCTCTGGAAGCCTTCCCTTCCTGCCTCCCTTGCCAGCCTACTCCCCAGCTTGCTCCGGTCCAGTGCTCTGAGTTTCCATAGCACCTCTGTATGCCTCTTGCAGAACTCACAAGAATGAACTGTGACGGAGGACCTGATCTTCTGTCTCCCTCTCTAGCCTGACACCTTTTTGATAGCAGGGATAAGAGTTGATTGTCTCCAATACACTATTTGCATGGAGTGGGTGCTTAAGAAATGCCTTGTAAGTGGATGAATAAGTGAATAAACAAGGAACTAGTGATCACAGTTTAGGAATAAAAGTGGTCACGCTGATTGGACACCAGGTTATTTTGATTTAGCGCCAAACACTTGCCCTGGCTGAGTAGAACCACAGCAGTTTAGAGATAATAGCAAAAACAGCAGCTCAGACATACAGGTCCTATGCTCTGTTTTTATTGTACCTTGTCAGGATATTAGTTTCCTACACAGCAGACTATGCAAGTGTCCAAAGTGCCCAGTGCCGTAAGTCATAGAAAAGTAGAGACTCTTAAATAGTGCCACAGCAAGTCTCCTGTATCTGTTCCTGCTTCCCATCAGAGAGGACAGATTTGTGCAAGAGCTTCAGTGTGGTTGTGTCTTCCAAAGGTTCGTTTGCCTTCCTGGGGCCACAGTTAGAAGACGGAGCCAACCTCCATGACTGTTGATCTCCTCTCATGAAATCTCAACAAGCCATGGCCTTGGCATTTCAAGTGTAGCCAGATAATGACTTTTGCATAGAGAGCAACCTGCTAGACCTTGTTTTATATGAAGCTATTATATTAGTTTCCTATTGCCATTGTAACAAATTACCACATACATTTATTATGTGTGGTTTAAAGCTGTGTTTTAAAGCAACATATACTTATTATCTTGCACTTCCAGAGGTGAGAAGTCATAAAACCAGCATGACTGTGTTCCTTGAGGAGGCCTAGAGGAGAATCTGTTTCCTGACCCTTTCCAGCCTCCTCCAGAGGCGGCCTGCGCTCTTTCACTGCTGGCCCCTTCCTCCATCAGCAGTCAGCGTGTAGAATCTTCATGTGTCTGTCTCTCTCTGCCCTCTGCTTCTGCATCACGTCCACTTCTCTGACTCTGACCTGCCTGCTTCCCTTTTATGAGGACCTTGATGATTATGACGGATCCACCTGGATAATCTGGGATAACCCCCGTCTCAAGACTCCTAACTTAATCCCTCCCAAACCCCGCTTTGTTACATAGGTAACATACTCACAGGTTCTGGAGATTAGGACATAAGACATCTTTTTTGGGTGGGAGGTGTTATTCTGCCTACCACAGCCATTTACTTTGGATATTGTGATACAACTGAGCATTTGTTCATACATGCTGCTTTATAACATCCAAATTAAGATGGAAATGAAAGGATGAAAACTCTAATGTGATACAACCTCTAACCATCCTGAACAATCACCGTCACCTTCCCACCACTATATGTAAAAGTGTGACAGGGGCTTCTGCCAAGATGGCCGAATAGGAGCAGCTCCAGTGCACAGTTCCCAGCGAGGGCAACACAGACGCCGGGTGATCTCTGCGTTTCCAACTGAGGTACCAGGTTCATCTCAATGGGACTGGTTAGACAGTGGGTGCTCGCCCAAGGAGGGCAAGCTGAAGCAGGGTGGGGCATCACTTCACCTGGGAGGCCACAAGGGGTGGGAGAACTCCCTCTCCTAGCCCAGGGAAGCCATTAGGGGCTTTTCCTGACACTCTGGCTCAGATACTGTGCTTTTCCCATGGTCTACACAACCCCCAGACCAGGAGATTCCCTCTGGTGCCTGCAACACCAGTGTCCCAGGTTTCCAGTACAAAACTGGGTGGCCGTTTTAGCCACAGCAGATTTTTTTTTTTTTTTTTCCATATCCCAGTGGTGCCTGGAACACCAGTGAGACAGAACGCTCATTTCCCTGAAAAAGGGGGCTGAAGCCAGGGAGCCAAGTGATCTGGCTCTGTGGGTCCCACCCCCACAAAGGCCAGCAAGCTAAGACCCACTGGCTTGAAATTCTCACAGCCAGAACAGCAGTCTGAGCTCCACCTGGGACAGTTGAGCTTGGTGGGGGGAGGGGTGTCTGCCATTGCTGAGGTTTGAGTGGGCAGTTATAACCTTGCCTGTGTAAACAGTCACTGGGAAATTTACAGAGCAACTGGGTGGAGCCCACAGCAGCTCAGCAAGGCCTCTGGAGGCCGACTGTCACTAGACTCCTTTCTTACTGGGTAAGGCATCTCAGAAAAAAGGCAGCAGCCCATCAGGTATTTATAAATAAAGCCCCTACCTTCCTGGACAGAGCACCTGGGAAAAGAGGTGATTCTGGGTACAGCTTCGGCAGACTTAAACATTCCTGCCCAGCAGCTCTGAAGGGAGCAACAGATCTCCCAACATAGCGTTCAAGCTCTAATAAGGGACAGGCTGCCTCCTCAAGTGGCTCCCTGACCCCTGTGTATCCTGACTGAGAGACATCTCCCAGCAGGGGCTGAAAGACATCTCAAGCAGGAGAGCTCTGGCAGGTACCCTTCTGGGATGAAACTACCAGAGGAAGGAACAGGCAGCATTCTTTGCTGTTCTGCAACCCCTGCTGATGATTCCCAGGCAAACGGGTTCTGGCGTAGACCTCCAGCAAACTCCAGCAGACCTGTAGCAGAGGGGCCTGTTAGAGGGAAAACTAACAGAACAAAATAGTTTCAACATCAGCAGAAAGGAAGTCCACTCAGAGACTCCATCCAAAGGTCACCAACTTCAAAGACCAAAGGTAGATAAATCTACGAAGATGAGAAGAAACCAGTGCAAAAGGCTAAAATCTCCAAAAACCAGAACGCCTCTTTTCCTCCAAGGGATCATAACTCCTCACCACCAAGGGAACAAAACTGGATGGAGAATGAGTTTGACAAACTGACAAGAAGCAGGCTTCAGAAGATGAGTATGAACAAACTTCTCTAAGCTAAAGAAGCATGTTCTAATGTAATGCAAGGAAGCTAAGGACCTTGAAAAAAAGGTTTGATGAAATGCTAACTAGAATAACCTGCATAGACTTGATGGAGCTAAAAAACACAGCACGAGAACTTCACAAAGCATACACAAGTTTCAATATCCAAATCAATCAAGCAGAAGAAAGGATAACAGACTGAAAATCAACTCAATGAAATAAAGCGAGAAGGCAAGATTAGAGAAAAAAGTGAAAAGAAATGAACAAAGCCTCCCAGAAATATGGGATTATGTGAAAAGACCAAACCTACATTTGATTCATGTACCTGAAAGTGATGGGGAGAATGAAACTGTAAGGTTGACCTAAAGGATGGAGAGGCAGACCCAGGCTCAGGTTTAGAAAGTTTATTTCAACCTGCCAGGCCAGCTGCCTCTCCACAGGCAGCGAAGGCCGCAGCCTGGCCTACAGACTACGGGAGTTATATAGGGGGTTTGCAGGTAGCTGGTGCTATTCTAAGAAAAACCGCATCTTGGTTCTTAGGTGTTAACATTCTGCTTAATTGGGTCACCACCCTGGGCTTGAGAGCTGGGTGGGACCACATCCTGGAACCCAGGTGCCCTGTTTACAAGGCCTGAGGCTGTTTTTGTTGTGAGCTCAGCTTAGCAGGGGAGAACGGGGAGGGGGTCTATGGGCTTGCCTTGCTGTGACCCTAACATTCCAGCCTTTTGTGATATATGTAAAAGAAAGGGAGAAGGGGTGCTGTTCATTTCTAGCTGCTTCATGCTGAGTAGGGACGCTGGTTGGGGTGAGGCTGGCATGCAAGTTGTAGTCCTGGAATACCATCATGTCTTGTATTGCACTGCAGATAAAGGCTTGTAATTGATTCTGCAAAATCTGGCTGAAAAGACGTAGGAGACAAGGGCCAAAGACCAAGAGAAGGGGGAGAGTTACAGCACGGTTAAGGAGCGGAAGTAGCCAAGGGGCCCAGGAGCTGAGAGACGAGCTGAGAGACCAGCTGGGCCAGGAGGGCCAGGCAGAAGAATTGTTTTCATTTCTGGGCTCGGTCTTTGAGTCTTTTGACTGCATCTTGCACTATTCTGGATTGCTTGAGATAGAAACAACATTGTTTGTCTAGGAAGACGCAGAGACCCACCTTTTTCAAGGGTAAGTAGATTGAGGCCTCTGTGGATCTGGAGGACAACTGCAGCCAGTGAATCTATTTGTGTTTGGAGGGTAGAAATGGACTTGGTCATGTCCTCTATACTGTCTGTAAGGACTTTGGAGATGGAGCCATAGCAGGAGAGAGAGTTGGAAAGCCCAGCAGTTCCTGCTGCAGTGCCTGCAATTCCTGTAGCTACTCCTAGTCCCACAGCAGAGGTATGAGCTGCACCGCCCGACGGTGCTGGATAGGATTGCTGACTGGGATGGATAAGGATTGGTTACCTGGGGCTATACTAACTTTTAGGCTGAGGAATACTAGGGTACAGGTGCCAGTCCAATTAGTGGGGAGGCAAATATAGGTGGAGGTGCCGCATAAAAAGACACCTTAGCTTGGCAGACAGAATTGGTTGTGTATGTTGAAAAGATGTGAAAATTTGTTGTTTTTTAACGTCCCTGCAAGTGCAGCTGCAGTGAGTGGCTGCAGGGGTGCATTAGGAGGAGTATGAGTGCCCTGCGGTGCTTTATTTTCCCAGTGCAGTAAGATGCATTTGGTGTCTACCAGAATCCAGTGAGAGGAGGTGTTGGTAAAGAATGGGTGGAGGAGACAGTCTTGAGTTTTAGGTGACTTGGATTCATAGGAGGGCAGCCAGGGATGGAGACTTAAGCAGAGACAGTGTCTGCCATTGCAGAAGCCTGACTTCTTCTTAAGGAGTAGGGTGATGTTGAGTCCTAGAGGAGTTTTGAATATGTTTTGGCTGGTATGGTCGGTGGAGGGTTTGAGCTGTGAAGTTACGCTTTTCGGGGGCAGGTGGCCTATGTGGTGGCCGGTCGGGGAATGGCGCTGAACGCACAGTGGGGCCTGAGAGAGCAGAGCTGTTTGTGTGGTGATGGGGTTTAGTAGAGGCTCAGCTTGACTGACATAGGGAGTAAGGGAGGTGAGATATCGGCGTAATAACAGAACTGCTTGTCCAGTGGGAGACTGAGGTTTGTTATGTTCTGTGAAGGATTTAGAGAGTTGTATTAGTTGCTGTAAATTATATTGAAAAAGTCCCCCTAATTGAAAGTGGGGTGAAAGGTTACTCTGGCGTGGATCCAGTCTTGTGTGGGGAAGAGGACGGCAGTGTAGGCAGTGTCCGAGACAGAGGCACAGCCAACAGCTGCTTGCCAGAGCTGGGATACACTGGTTTAGTTGGAACTGAGTCGAGAGTGTGGTGAAGGTAGCATGGCAAGGGATGGGGTAGGTGTTGGCGAGAGGGGGTAGGAGTAGCAAATAAGCAAAGGGTAAGGATCAAGGTAGAAAACTGGACTTTATCTGGGGTGAAACTGCACAGGGTGCCTTGGAAGGTAAGGTCAGTTATCCAATGTAGAAATGAGAGTAGGTTCTTCAGGGAAGAACCACATAATATCCTCTGTGAGACGGCGAAGCGACAAGAACAAATACAGGACATAAAAAAGAGGGTAATTATTTACTAGTGACTGTTACTCCTGTTATTAGTGCAATGATTAGGCAAAAAATTATGGCAGTGAAGGCTCTCTGCTTGCTGTTCCACATTGAGGGGTCTACAGCACATACACCTACTGCAAACGAGAGGAAGGAAGGCCATTCCCGCGAGGAGGATGTGGTAAGCAATTTCCATTTAAGGGCATTATAACACTTGATTTGTAAAAGGAGCAGGAACAAGTGGGGTTATTTTGCCTAATTGTCTGGTGGCAGGGCCTCTGGAATGGATGTGAGATGGAGTCTGGTTGGCCCGAGGACGACACTGCAGTACTGATGAATGGCTGGCGAGGAAGGAGTAGACGGACCAGTGGGGGCCTTGGGGGCCTGTTTTAACGTGGAAAGATGATATCATGAAGTAAGTCCTGAGCGTTTGGCCGCCGTGGGGGTGGTGAGGTGAACCTGGAAGGGGCCTTCCCATTTTGGTTTAAGGCTTGTGGGATTGAGGGTTTTTAGAAAACATATTCTCTGGGGAGTAGGGCCTGGTTAGCTGGGCCTTCGAGAGGCCTTAGGCGGGTCCAGCCGGCGTGTTCTTGGAGGAGGTATCCGATGAGGGGGAGTGTTGGGAGATACTCTCCTAGTGGAGAGTTAAGAGGGGCCTGTTTTGTAAGAGGAAAGGGCATCCATACAGTAACTCAAATGGGCTCAGGAGGGTGCTTTTGGATTTCGAGAGAGTTTGGTTAGCTGAGTCTTAGGGATCCCATTTGCCCTTTCTACTTTTCCGGAGGACTGGGGTCGGTATGGGATACGCAGGCACCACTGGACGCTGAGGGGCTGAGAGGCTTGTTGGGTGATTTGGGAGATGAAGCTAGGGCCGTTGTCTGATTGTATGGAGTGCGGGAGACCAAATCTAGGGATGATTTCTGTTAAAAGAATTTGGGAGACTACTGCAGCCTTTTCTGAGGAGGTGGGGACGCTTCTACCCACCTAGAGAAGGTGTCTAGGGGATAAGAAGAAACCTAGTTTATTTTGACAGGAGGCATGTGGGTGAAGTGTACTTGCCAGTCTTCTCCTGGGAATGATCCTCTTAGTTGGTGTGTGGGGATGGGAGGAGGGTAGAGGGCCCCTTGAGAGGAAGTCAGAGCATACATCACAGTTGGAGGGTATGTCCTTTAGTGTGGTAAATAGGTGGGGAGAAGAGAAGCAAGGGCGACGGAGAAGGTACAGGGGGCGTGCACCGATATGAAGGGACTGGTGAAGAGCTGTCAGAATTTCCTTAGTTTGTTCTTGAGGGAGGATGAGTTTGTGATTTTTGACTATCCAGCTCCTCTGGAAGGAGGCTCCTTGTTGCAGTAGTGAACAATTCAGCAGGGCAATGCTGGGGTTGGATTGTGGGAGTGATGAGGAGGACAGGGGCAGGGACAGAGGAAAGGGAGGCTTCTTTTGCTGCCTTGTTGGCCTTTCTGTTCCGTCCCGAGATTTCATCTGATCCTGTCTGCTGTCCTCGGCAGTGTATAACTCCTGCTGTAGCTGGGAGGTGTGCAGCTTGGGGGCATTGGTAACTAAGGGGACCATTAGTGATGGAGGTTCCTTTGGCAGTAAGAAATCCTCTTTCCTGCCAAACAGCGGCATGGGAGTGAAGGATGTAGTAGGCATATTTGGAGTCTGTGAAAATGTTGACACATTTCCCTTTGGAAAGGGTTACAGCTCTAGTGAGAGTTTTAAGTTCTGCTTTTTGGGAGGAGGTTCCATGAGGGTAGGAATTAGTTTCAATTACTCAGTCAACAGTGACAACTGTATACTCCGTGATTTCATGGGAATTGGCTGATTTAGAAGAGGAGCTATCTATGAATAACTGATCGTCAGGATCGGGGAGAGGCTCAGGGGAGATATTAGGGAAATGAGGCTGCAAGTGATCAAGGACTTCAGTACAGGAGTGAGGAGGAGGGGAGGAAGACAGTGGAAGTAGAGATGCAGGAGTTAGGGGAGCACTTTTGGAGAGGCAGAACTCAGGTTTTTCGAGAGAGGGCACGGAGTAGTTGGATACGAGAAGGGCAAAGGGTACGTAGGGCTCGGGAGGAGAGGATAAATTATGTGAGCTGCGAACAGTGGTGTCTTGACCAAATGTTAGTTTTTTGCTTTCCAAGGCTAGGGTGGCAGCTGCTGCTAGGGCTCGGAGGCAGGTTGGCCATCCTTGAGCAGTGGTGTCTGGTTTAGAAAGGTAAGCTACGGGAGCAAAGGAGGGGGAACGTCCTTTTTGTTGGCCAAGGATGCCAAGGGCTATTCCATGTTTTTCAGCTGTGTACAGAGTGAATGACTGAGAGACGTCAGGCAGAAACAGAGCAGGAGGGATGACAAGGGCAGCCTTAAATTTGTGAAAGCTTGGGATTATGATGTGTGAAGGGGCTCATTTAGAGGGCCTTTGGCAGGTTCACAGAGTGGGCAGGCTAGGAGGGCAAAATTGGGAATCCATATTCTGAAGAAACCTGCTAGCCTTAGGAAAGAAAGGATTTCATTTTTTGAGATGGGTGGGGGCAGGCTGTCTATTAGTGCTGTCTGTGCTGAGGTCATGGCTCGGGTCCCAGGGCAGAGTTGGACTCCTAAAGTTGTCCTTTAGAGGGGGAGACCCTGTATCCCTTATTAGTGATAAAGTTCAAAAGGGTAATGGTGTGAGTTTGAGAGTCCTCTTGGTAGGGGCTACAGAGAAGGAGGTCATCCACATACTGGAGAAGCCGACTAGGAGAAAGGTCTAGAGAGGTGAGGTCTTGAGCCAGAGCTTGCCAGAAGAAATGAGGACTGTCCATGAAACCTTGGGGGAGGACGGTCCATGCGAGTTGTGACTAGAGGGAGTCAGGATCAGTTCAAGTGAAGGCAAAATGATTTTGGGAGTTAGGATGAAGGGGAATAGTAAAAAAGGCATCTTTCAGATCGATGGCGGTATAGTGGGTTGTGTTGGAAGGGAGGAGAGGGGCACGTAAGGGTTGGGAACTACTGGATAGATGGGGGGGACTGCCTGCCAGCCTGGACTAGTCAAGAACTGTCTGCCTTTTTGACAGGGAGTATGGGAGTATTTATTATATGGAGAATGGGTTCGTCTGAGATGGCTGTGTGAGAGGAGTTTATGATGGGCTGTAAGCCTTTTTGATGGCTTAATGAGATGGGACATTGAAGAATCCTAGGAAATTTGGAGGGGTCCTTTAATTGGATTTTGATGGGGGTCATGGTGTACTGCTATGGAAGGGATGGTAGTATCCCACACTATTGGATTAACAAGGGAGGCGGGGAGTGGGTACTGGTGGGAGGGGTCAAGGGCTGGTGTGGTAGCGGAGAGGAGGAGGAGAGAGTCTGGTTGTGGGGGCCAGAGGAAGGTGATGGAAGCTGTGAATTTGGCTAGGAGGACAGCAAGGCATGATAAAAAAGAAAAAAGAGTGAGAAAACAGTATTAAATAAAGAACAAGTAAGGGGCTTGGTGGCCTGTGGATATGAGGCAAGTCCATCAACTCACACAACTGAGACTGGAGAGAGATGAGTTGGTCCTGGGAATTCAGGCAAAGCTGAGTATGTGGCCCCGGTATTGATTAAAAAAGAGATAGGCTTACCTGTCACTAGTAGAGTTACACTGGGCTCTGATGCAGTGATGGCAGATAGGGCCGTGGGCCTTGGGCCTCATCAGTCTTCAGCAGCCAAGCCAAGGAGCTGCAAGGGTGCAAGTGATTCTTCACCTTTTGTCTTGGTGAAGGGGTTATGGGTTGGAGGTGCAGGCTTTTCTGTCTGCCTGCTGAGAGGACAGTCAGAGTTCCAGTGGCCTATCTGCTGGCAGATGGAGCAAGGGCTTTCTGGCACCCGTGAATTGGGACATGCCCGTGCCCAATGGCCTATGCCCCCGGAAGTGCACTGCTGTCAGGTTTTTTGTACTCCTGGGTGCCATAGCCAGGTTGGCAAATGGCTGCTGCTAGAAGCTGGTATTTAGCACCATCTCTTTGGGCCTTGTCTATTTTACTTTGTTCATCGCTATTACTGAAGACCTTGAAGCCAGGTTAAAGAGGTCTTCTTGTGGGGTTTGAGGGCCATCTTCAGGCTTTTTGAGCTCATGCTGGATGTTGGGGGCAGATTGGGAGATGAAATGGGTATTAAGGACAATAGTCCTTTCTCGGGAGGCAGGGTCAACGTGGGTATATTTCTGGAGAGCCTCTGTCAGGCAGGAGAGGAATTGGGCAGGGTTTTCATCTGCTTTCTGGGAAATTTCTTTGAGCTTTTCAAAATTTATAGCCTTATGGGCAGCTTTGTTAAGGCCTGCCATGAGGCAAGTAATCATGTAGTTACAAGATACTCAGATCTGTAGGCTGATATTCCCAGGCTGGCTTCTCTTGGGCGACAAGAGCCGCCCCTACAGGTTTAGTAGGGTCCTGCCAGTGAAGGTCATCAGCATGTGCCGGTGCTGCAAGCCACACTCTTTCCTTCTCAAGGGGAGGAGAGTAGAGGAGAGGATAATATGCAGATCACACCAGGTAAGTTCATAAGACTGGGTTAAGAGATTTAAATTATTTGATGTAAGTGTCTGGATCAGAGGAGAAAGAAAGACCTGAGGCGCTTTTTGATTTGGGAGGGATCAGATAGAGACGTGGACAATGACTTCCAACCCCACCACTTCTCCGAGGAGGAGTAAGGGAGCTGGCCGTGGGGGATGCCATGTTCGGGAGCAGGTGTGGGGTGAAGGTAGAAATTGGAGAGGGGGAGGGGACAAGAGCTGGAGCAGGGATCAAAGGCGGAGGTTCAGGGTGTTCTGGCGCCAGGGTTATGATTTCCATTCTTTTGCATTTGCTAAGGAGTGTTTTACTTCCAATTATGTGGTCAGTTTTAGAGTAAGTAAGTGTGATGTGGTGCTGAGAAGGATATAGATTCTGTGGATTTGAGATGGAGTGTTCTGTAGATAGGTCCTTCACTGGCAGGACCCTACTAAACCTGTAGGGGCGGCTCTTGTCCCCCAAGAGTATTGGATATCCTTGTTAATTACCTGTCTTGTTGATCTAATATCGACAGTGGGGTGTTAAAGTCCCCCACTATTATTGTGTGGGAGTCTAAGTCTCTTTGTAGGTCATTAACAACTTGCTTTATGTATCTGGCTGCTCTTGTACTGGTGCATATATATTCAGGACAGTTAGCTCTTCTTGTTGAATTGATCCCTTTACCATTATGTAATTGAAATTAATTTACAGATTCAAAGCTACCATTGACTTTCTTCACAGAATCGGAAAAAAAACACCTCAAATCTCATATGGAACCGAAAAAGAGCCTGTATTGCCAAGAGAATCCTAAGCAAAAAAAAAAAAACCAAAGCTGGAGGCATCATGCTGCCTGACTTCAAACTATACTACAATGCCACAGTAATAAAAAAGCATGGTACTGGTACCAAAGCAGAGATATAGACCAACAGAACAAAACAGAGGCCTCAGAAATAATGACATACCTACAACCATATGATCTTTGACAAACCTCAGAAAAGCAGGCAATGGGGGAAAGGAGTCCCTGTTTAATAAGTGGTGCTGGGAAAACTGGCTAGCAATGTGCAGAAAGCAGAAACTGGACCCCTATCTGTCACCTTACACTAAAATTAACTCCAGATGGATTAAAGATTTAAACATAAAACCTAACACCATAAAAACACTAGAAGAAAACGTAGACAAAACCATCCAGGGCATAGGCAAGGACTTCATAACTAAAACAACAAAAGCAATGGCAATACAAGCCAAAACAAGACTCTAATTAAAATTCAGAGCTTCTGTACAGCACAAGAAACCATCATTAGAGCAAACCGGCAACCAACAGAATGGGAAAAAAAATTTTGCCATCTACCCATCTGACAAAGGGCTAATATCCAGAATCTACAAAGAACTAAAACAGATTTACAAGAAAAAAACAAGCCCATTCAAAAAGTGGGTGGACAATATGAGCAGACACTTTTCAAAAGAAGACATATATGAGGCCAACAAACATATGAAAAAATGCTCATCATCACTGCTCATTAGAGAAATGCAAATCAAAACCACACTGACATACCATCTCACACCAGTTAGAATGGCGATCATTAAAAAATCTGGAGACAACAGATGCTGGAGAGGATATGGAGAAATAGGAACACTTTTACACTGTTGGTGGGAGTGTAAATTAGTTCAACCATTGTGGAAGACAGTGTGGCGATTTGTCAAGGATCTAGAAATAGAAATTCCATTTAACCCAGCAATCCCATTACTGGGTATAACCCAAAGAACTATACATTGTTCTACTATAAAGACACATGCACAGGTATGTTCAATGCAGCCCTGTGTACAATAGCAAAGACCTGGAACCAACCCAAATGCCCATCAGTAGTGGACTGGACAAAGAAAGTGTGGTACATATACACCAACGAATACTATGCAGCCATAAAAAATGTTGAGTTCGTGTCCTTTGTGGGGACTCAGATGAATTTGGAAACCATCATTCTCAGCAAACTGACACAAGATCAGAAAACCAAACACCACATGTTTTCACTCGTAGGTGGGTGTTGAACAATGAGAACATGTGGACTCAGGTACAGGAGCATCACACACTGGGGGCAGGTGTGGGGGTAGGAGAGAGACAGTGGGGGCTGGGGAGGGATAACATGGGCAGAAATGCCAGATACAGTATGCACCTAAAGTATAATTAAAAAAAAAAATAGGATTGCTGGGTCGAATGGTATTTCTATCAGTGGGTATATACCCAAAGGATTTTAAATCATTCTCAGCAAACTGACACAAGAACAGAAGACCAAAACTGCATGTTCTCACTCATAAGTGGGTGTTGAACAGTAAGAACACATGGACATAGGGAGGGGAACATTACATACCAGGGGGCCTGTCAAGGGATGGGAGGATGGGGAAACGACAGGAGAAATATCTAATGTAGGTGACAGGGTGATGGATGCAGCAAGTCACCATGGCACATGTATACCTATTTAACAAACCTGCATGTTCTGCACATGTACCCCAGAACTTAGAGTATAATAATAAAAGTATAACATACGTCATATGCATGAGTGTAGAGTTGAGCTTTCATTGCTGAAGGCATGTTAGCAGTTTCTGCGAGGTTAAAGATGAAGAACGGTGTTTTCATCCTGGGAGGGGGGATAGGAACCTTCATTAAAATCACACAGCCAATTGCACATTCAGGGCTAAATCTTTCCAGGTTCTCCACTGATAAGGGATATACAAAATCCTTTACTGTATCATTTTCAATTCTCTCATATTCATGGACATTTGCTCTGAACCAACAACAATCCCTCCAGTCACCCCCTAAGATGCTGCATTCACACTAATCCTTTAGAATGAAAGCTTATATTCTTCATCACTATTACATACCATTCTGCCTCCAAATGTACGTTATTATAATGCAAGAGAAGCCAGGAAAAGGGAAACTTGCTGAGTTTGCCAACACATCCCTGAAGGTACCCATCACGAAGCTCATGCTATGTGTGCCCAGTTCTTCAAAGGCTGCTAGACCCTTAGACCCCATGAACTGATCCAGGTTGTGTTCAGCACACCAATTAAATCAACACCTGCCCAAATAATGACCTGCTTTCTTCTTTTATGTGATTTCTTTCCAGCTTTCCCACACCCAATCACAATAAATTGTGCAAATTTGTTCCTATGACTAGACTGACAAAATATACCATTTTCTGACTCATTCAAAAATACTATTGCATAAACCATAGTGTGTGTGTATGTATGTATATATATATATATATATATATATTTGCAAAGACCTCTTTAAACTTATGTAGGCTCTTTATATCGTCACTGTTCTCAGTGCGCAATCCCTAGCTCAGACTGTGCATCAATACATTTTTGCTGAAGGAAGCACTCCATATGTACAAGATACTCCTGTCTGCATGACTTAGGACTTTTACGTTAATACTTAGGCCAAAGTTTGTTAGTGTTACTTTGATTTAAAAAAAAAACAATGACAGGAACCGAAAGAAGCAGTAGCATCACTATGAAATGTTCCATCCAGGACAGGATGACCTCTCTCCTCTCTGAACAACAGGAAAGTATAGCATCCATCAGATTAATATTTCAATCTCCTTTAACATGTGTCTGCTCATTAGACTATAAGCTTCATGAGGATAGGAACTGTGTCATTCAAATGTGTAGCTTCAATGCTGAGCACAGTGCCTGGCCTCTAGTGAGTATTAAGTGCTTAACTAATTAACAGGCACATTACAAATGGAGGCAGGTTTGTAATGATTAACTTCTACTCAATGGATTACACTCACTTTAGTTAAGGCAAGTAAGCATAGGAGATACGAGTGTTCCAGAGGCAGACAGATGTGAGGTTTGGACTTCATCACTAGCAGGTATATGTCCTTGGACAAGTAACGTTTCCACGTCCAGTTTGCTCTTTTACAAAATGGGGATCATAACTTCCTCATAGGTTATTGTGTGGATGAACTGAGATATTCCTGTATAAGGACTAGTATAGTGCCTCAAAAACATAAATGCTCATAAATGCTATTTTTATGATCACTACTCACCCCTACTGTCAAAAATGCCATAGGCTACTTCTCTGCCACATTTAAAAACAGACCACAAACACAAAAACATAGATTAGTTTACCTTGCTTGCCACATTTCTTCATTGGCCACAGATTCCCAAGAAGATGGATCAAACCTGTAGTTACAAAAAAACAGTAATATCTGTCATCCACATTTTTATTTATTTATTTATTTTTTGAGATGGAGTTTCACTCATGTTACCCAGGCTGGAGTGCAATGGCGCGACCTCGGCTCACCGCAACCTCCGCCTCCTGGGTTCAGGCAATTCTCCTGCCTCAGCCTCCTGAGTAGCTGGGATTACAGGCACGCGCCACCATGCCCAGCTAATTTTTTGTAT